TATGTATATATAACATTCCCCCAATGGCTGAGCCCCGTGTTTTTAAATCTTTCATACGATAATTAATTTACAGCAAGGTTTGGCAAGCAAGAATCCTCTTATTGTGGCTGTAGTACCGGGAGGCTGATGGAAAAGTGCGAGAAGGATAGGAGGATGGCACAGATCGCTGCTTCTACATATACTCAAATATCCAAGAGATTTTTTTATTTTTTTTATTTCTTTATTTATTTTGACATTTCCGGCTTAGCAAATTCTTCTTTTATGCCTCATGCAGCGTTCTTTTTTTAGGCAGTATAGTATGTTAGTAAAGAGCTACAGTGTTGCGCAATTTGTGTTGTGATGCCTATTGAATGGTTTATAAAACATGAAACAAATATTTGTATTTGGCAATCATTTAAAATCCAGTGCATTGTATGGCTTGGGAGCCCCCTTACCTAATTATTATTATTATTATACAGGATTTATTTAGCGCCAACAGTTTGCGCAGCGCTTTACAATATAAGGAAGACATTACAATCACAATACAATTCAAGACAAGATGGTAAAGAGGGCCCTGCCCCTGAGGGCTTACAATCTAAAAATAGCTGCAGTGGACGACGTCTCCATTTTGTTTGCGCTTTTTAGTTTTCTTTCTTTGTGCATTTTTTAAAAATATGGTTAAAGAAGAGAACTCCAGGATTTTGTTTTTACTAGCCCTTGCATGTGGGGCTACACCTGCACTGCAAGGGTTAAGTGCTTGTGTCTAGGTTAAAAAAAAAACCAAAGATATACTCACCCGAAGCTCCGAGCCGGCTTCTTCTTAGACTGAGTTGGACTTGATGGACTTAGGTCTTTATTCAACCTCAAATACTATGTTCCTTGCAACGTCTCTTCCCCTCTCCAGTGATCTAAGGTCCCGTAAGGGCCCATTCACACCACATCCATGCCAGACCAGATTGTTTCCGGACCCCAGATGCATCCTAATGTATTCTTATTTCAGGCCCCTGTTGACACCAGCACAGTCTGTTCCAGACCAGAAAAATACTGCATGTCTCATTTTGTCTGGTCTGGAATGCATGACACATAAAAAATGCATGCATTTTAAGCAAACAAAAATACAGCTGCAGAACGCAGTAAAATAACTGAGAAAACATTGCAAAATGCAATGCACTGCGTTCCAGATCTGGTCCGGAAAATGGTTGAACCTGCCCTTAATCATCAATGTCTATACACAGTGTATAGATGTGAGGATGCTGAGGAAGATACAATTCTGCAGAGAGGAGGAGACAGACTGGAGGGAGCAATGTGACAGCTGGCCGGCTCGGAGCTTCGGGTGAGTATAACTTTGTTATTTTAGCACCTAGACACAAGCAAGCACTTAACCCTTGCAGTGCTGGGGTAGGCCCACTACAAGGGTTAATAAATACAAATTCCTGGAGTTCTTCTTCTTTAACCTGGTGATCCTGCAAATTATATTTTACCTGTCAGGGTGTCAATGCTCACTCACTTCACTGTATCTATAGAGTGAGCTATGGTTGTTACCCTGGCACAGGACTTCAAACAGGTCTTCCTCTCTTTGTCTTCATTACATGGGAGGGATTCATAGTATACAGAAAATTGCGGAGATAACGTTGTTTGCGATTTTCAGTTCAATTCTCAGGAAGTGACAAGGACACGGCATTTCCGGCAAGATCAACAGCTGTGTTCTGTACTTGCTGAAAATGTTCTGAAAAAGAAAAGAAATTAAGGCAGCAGCCACATCTACTTGTGAGCTGTAATATATGACATTTTTGTTCTCGGGTTTAGATGTCCTTTTATATGTCAAAAATTGAATCATGAGAGGAGAGTAGAATAAACGTGATGACTTAAAGGAGAACTATGAGGTGAGGGTTTTCACTCACCTCATAGTTCTAGCCGACCTGTGACAATGAGACTGTCACATGTCGGCTCAGTAGATCGGGAAGTGAGCGAACACATACCAGGTTCCCTCACCTCTCGATCCTGTCACGGCTCTCTGCCGTGACAGGGGAGGGGCTGGATTCCCCCCTCCCCGCTCCGATCTGCCAGCGCTGAATGGCGGAACGGATGGGGCGGGTACAGCTGACTCTGCATCCAGATAGGCAGAGCCAGCTGTCAGTCACGCAGCTGGGCGGATCCCGGCATTATTGTCGGGATCCGCTTCAGCTGCGGCGTCTCAGTATACCGCGAGCAGCAGCTTGCGGTATACTGCAGCGTCTCAGTTACTGCAGCGTCTCAGTATACCGCGAGCTACAGCTCGCGGTATACTGAGCCTAGAGTGACGGGGGACGCTAGTTTGTGTCCTCCCGTTACCCTAAGGAGAACTATGGGGGAAAAGACTTAACCCCATAGTTCTCCTTTTTAAAAAGGATCTGTCATTTTAGAATTTCCTATTGAAGTCAGCTTGATTAAGGTTATGAAACGTCCTCGTCTGCTTGGACACACAGGGCTATTTTCAGTGACTGGTCTCTTTAGAAGCTACTGCTGCCTGGCATGGGGCCAGACTCCAGCCACTAACATTCTTGCATGAGATTGTGTGCGGTATAATATCATATATTGCATTTGAAAGCTATTAGAGCCCAGTTTTTTAAAGCGGCCCATTACACTCAAAAATCTAATTCTACCAATGCATCCCTCTATGTATGATGATGAATAATAACATAGACATGTCAGGTGTTAAATGCTGTGATTATGAAATACTTACACTTGCAGAGCATTCACTTCCTGCTTTAAAAGGGCAAAATGACTTCAGTTTGCCAAAGCAATGCTTCCTGGCATTGCCTTGTCATCAGCAGAGCATTGCTGGGAAATCTCATCTGTGATCTCAGGGAAAGGCATTCTCCTCCCCTGAGATGATGTGCATGTCACATGTCCTAGTCACATGTGCCATAAATCCAGGAAGTAAAAGGAGAGCTAGTAATCTGCCCTTAGTAAACATGGCCACTGTCTGAAGACTGGGGAATAAAAGAGAAATAAGGAATGCAAAGAATACAAAGCCGGCAATTATCTAGATGTATGTGTTTGTAGATTGTCCTTACTAAACATTTCTAAAGGTGTCTTTGTTGTTATTTTAAAGATAAGGGTAAAGGTCCACTTTAAATATTAAAATAAAGGAAAAGTTTGGCTTTAAAGCTGAACTCTGGGCAGATAGAAAAACACAAATGAATGCAGCTCTGCATTAATTAATACATCAATAGATACTAGTGAAAGTGCCAAAATGTTCCTTGGTATCAGTTTCTTCATTCCTCAGCAGAGCGGCATTCAATCTGAAAGGGGAAGGGAGGGGTATGACCAATTAGGTGTGCTGCATGCAAATTGGCTGACAAGGAACATGCTGATTGGAGAAGAGATCAAACTGGGCAGTAATTACCTCATTAGTCTTCCATTACTCTGTCACTGTCCAGTCTAATGCTGAGGGCTGGGATAGGCCCACTTCTTACCTTAACTGAGTGTGCTGTGTGGCAGGGCTGTGCACATCTCAGGACTAGATGGAGGGAAATTCAAACCGTTTGGCAGGTAAAACCGCTCCTAGATATGTTTTTCATCTGTGGATGTAGCTGTTTGGCTGGAGTTCAGCTTTAAATGTTTAGTTTTGTGAGATGCCTATGAGGAAAGGAGAAACTAAAGGCATATCTAATGATTTGAGAAATGTTTAATGAAAAATAAAAGTTTGATTCATAAGAAGCACTTTGCAATAGTTAAAGCTAAACTGCAAGTACAAAAACGTTCATTTAAATATATTCCTCAGTAGCCACAAAGGATATAAATCAACTTTGGGTGTGCCAAATGGCTGCAAACCAAGAAATTATCACTGTGCTGTACCCACTACAGGCTGCCTACAGGAACTACAGGATGGGGCGGAGACAAGACCAGTCACCCTGTGCAAGGAGGGAGAGCAGCAGTGAGCATTCTATATTACAGGAGGGGGCGGAGACAAGACCAGTCACCCTGTGCAAGGAGGGAGAGCAGCAGTGAGCATTCTATATTACAGGAGGGGGCGGAGACGAGACCAGAGCAGCAGTGACCTACAGGAACTACAGGAGGGGGCGGAGACAAGACCAGTCACCCTGTGCAAGGAGGGAGAGCAGCAGTGAGCATTCTATATTACAGGAGGGGGCGGAGACAAGACCAGTCACCCTGTGCAAGGAGGGAGAGCAGCAGTGAGCATTCTATATTACAGGAGGGGGCGGAGACGAGACCAGTCACCCTGCACAAGGAGACAGAGCAGCAGTGACCGGTCTTTATTAAAGGAGGGGGCGGAGACAAGACCACTCTGCACAAGGAGAGAGAACAGCAGTGACTGGTCTTTACTACAGGAAACTCCAAGTGCCGCACTGGATTACTGCACAGATCTGAAAGAAATACACAAAGCTCACCAAGATTCCAGGAAGAATACACATGACTCTTGTATGAGGACAATATTTGTTTACCCCAGTTCAGCTTTAAATAATTATTGCATACAATTGAATAACAATTGCACAACTTTGCAACATTTTAAGTACATTAACTGAATGTTTTGATGTTTTTGAACAAATATTTTTTTTTTATTGGAGTCTGGTGGGCTGAGTCAGCCCCTAGCTTCTTAAATGCCTTGGATACTCCAACAGCAGGATCTCCTGCCCTAGTTTCCGACTCTTTTGGGTGATCCTGCCCACCTTTTGTGTGTCCCAGATCCTCCATAATATGAAAAAAATAAAAAGCCCCTCACATTGAGTACAACAGGTGTGCAGACCGTGGAGCTTAAAAGTAATTACCCCGAGAGATAGACAAGACTGTCAGCTTGCTTGACTGAACTATCTATTCTGGCTAAACGGACCCTGGAAGCCAAAGTCCAGTAGCACAGTGGAAAATAATGAAGCATTGCATGAAGATTATTTTGTCCACGGTGGAGATGTTGCCAGTAATAACCCCGCAGATTTTTCCGTGAACGAGTCCTTTGTCTTACTGTTACATTAAAGAATCATTTAGTTTTGTTAAGATTAACCAATTGTCTTCTGCTACAGGTTGCATAATTACTATATCTGGTCGCATGACATTCACCAGCAACAAATCCATGGAGATTGAGGTGTTTGTAGATGCCGACACTCTGGTTGGAGATACCCAGGAGCGATATCGAGCTGTCAGCGCCTTTTTCACATACGTGTCTCTAAGCAAAGACCTCAAACCACTTCCCGTTCCTCAGCTTGTGGTAAGTACAAAGTCTACTTTCAGTGATGTGTTATTTGAAGGAATACTGCCATGTTTACGTTTTGTCTTATATTTGGATGAACATATGATCATATTTTATAGTTGGGTTTGCAGGTCTGTGGATTAGGTCTGGCCTTTAAAAACACAGGCGCTTTGTTTTCAGTTGAGTGGGGAGGGCCACCACATGTTCCCTCGGACCACCATTACAGGCTATCAGGACAATGCCAGCAGTGTATTCACTATCAGAGGGTTGTGCTGTCAGAGCAGGCAAGCAACAGCAAGTTAAGTAGGCAGGGTGGTCCCGGAAAAGACAGGGCTCTCCTGCAATCCTGATGTGTCCACCTCTCCAGTATTCGATACTGATGTGCCCATCCCTCCAATGTCCAGTGCTGATGTGCCCATCCCTCCAATGTCCAGTGCTGATGTGCCCATCTCTCCAATGTCCAGTACTGATGTGCCCATCTCTCCAATGTCCAGTACTGATGTGCCCATCTCTCCAATGTCCAGTGCTGATGTGTCCATCTCTCCAATGTCCAGTGCTGATGTGCCCACCCCTCCAATGTCCAGTGCTGATGTGTCCATCCCTCCAATGTTCAGTGCTGATGTGCCCATCCCTCCAATGTCCAGTGCTGATGTGCCCATCCCTCCAATGTCCAGTGCTGATGTGCCCATCCCTCCAATGTTCAGTGCTGATGTGCCCATCCCTCCAATGTCCAGTGCTGATGTGCCCATCTCTCCAATGTCCTGTGCTGATGTGCCCATCTCTCCAATGTCCAGTGCTGATGTGCCCATCTCTCCAATGTCCAGTGTTGTTGTGTCCTTTCTTCCATTGTTCAATGCTGATGTGTCCATGTTCAATGCTGATGTATCCTTCCTTCCAATGCTGATGTGTCCACCTCTCCAATGTTCTGTACTGTTGTGCCCATCCCTCCAATGTCCTGTGCTGTCGTGTCCTTTCTTCCAATGTTCAATGCTGATGTGTTTATCTCTCCAATGCTCTTTGCTGATGTGTCCATTCCTTCGAAGTTCAGTGCTACTGCTGATGTCTCCACCCCTCCAATCTCCAATGCTAAGAGTGAGCTCAATGATTGCTGGACCCTGCTGCCTCTGGTCACTGCTTTATACACATATACAAACTTGGCGCATTGGCTCCTCATTTACATAAGTGTGTTTATTTTTTAATAAACTGTTATTGCCCCGACACAGTATTCTTTATGTTCTGAGTTATCACTGACGGTTCCATCAGCAAAGTTGGCCACACGTGGCTAGATTTGATTTGTCAGATCAGCAAACTTTACTTTCCCTTGCATTGTACAAGAGCCTAACTGTACAATCTATTTAGAATATATCCACTCCACCCCAACTTATGCAAATAAACCCTTATCCTTAACCATACTTAAACCTTATCCTTAAGATTCAATCTGTTACAAAAACTGTGTGTGTATATCAGATATGGACATCATGGAAGGGGAGGGCGCAGTTTGTCCTCTTCCACCCAGACATAGGATGACCTTGTCCCGGAACTGCCTGTAACTAAAATATCACTTTTGTATGCACCGGCCCTTTAATTAAATGTCACTGCTCTAGGATCTGCTAGGAGTGTTCCTTCCAGAAGCGGGTTTTGAATCTTAGAATTATACCCCCGCCCCCATTGCTATCGTTTGCATTTCATAAACAGCATAAATTATTAAAGAGAAGCAGATAAGACACGGGATGGCTGTCGTGTTTTCATAATACAAATATATTGTGGTTATAAATAAGCCACAGAGCACTTCATTAAAATTCACCACGCACGGCTCCAATCTTTCACATGCAGCAGCTCAGGTGTAGCAGATGAGATACCACCGTGAATCCTTACAACTAACAGTCTATGGCAGATTGCAATTGCTTTCAGTTACAGATCTTAATGGTCAGATTTGTTGATTTAGTAATAAATAGTCTCTGAATTATATATGATATGGATTCCTCAATGTATGTAGCACAGGTTTAATATCCTTTGTCATTTTGATTTACGTTGATAAAGGAGCTTTCTTCTTTAATGCACTTATCCGATCCCCCAGGAAACTGGTATTTGTAAAAGAGGACAGGTCTTGCTTGATCGGGTTTCAAGCTGACATTTAATCTACTTGCATGTGGCCTGTACTGGTTCCTCCTTTACCCATTCATTAACATGCTAATGAAATTATTAAATAAAACCTTCCTGATTGTATTACATTATTTTAAACCCAGTGATGTTATCACTGGTTCACTGTGCTTCTCTATACAATGCCAGCATATTATAACTGGTGGGAGGGTGCTGTACATAGCTTCCTGATAACAGCAAGAGTCATACAAACGTTAAAGTCACATGGACATCTCTTCCCCAATTATTGGGCTTTCGATATGCCAAGCAGAGGGAACCACAGCCCACCTTTATGAATGGGCTGTAAAATGTGGGGCACGCTGTGTGTAGTGGAGTAAACTGAAGAGCGAGGAGCAATTAACATGATTTATATATAGGCAGCTTAATTGCATATTTAGCAGTTTGCCTGGAGCTCTGCATTAAATATACAGTATAGGTCCACTTCATAGCAGGGAGGAAGTGGTTTTGCGAGATGGAAAGGGGGGAATGAGAGGTATTTAGGAAGAATTTCCTAAAATATGTACTATAGACCCGACACTCATCCGAGAATCATTGGCAGCTCTTTTTAAGGAAAGTCAGCTCATAAAATAGCCCTTTTTAGGCAAAATGAGTATATTTGAACATTTCATAACGTGCAGCGTAAATGTCATGTACGTGCATCATTTTTCAGGATGCTGATTGATGAGTGAAATATCTCAGAGGAGAAGCGGTCCTTTTCAGGCCCGACACTATCTTTGACATACGAGCCATAGACATCATTTACTTCTCCAGTGATTAAAGACTCATTAAACTAAAGTTTCTGTCTGACTTTTTTTTTTTTTTCCAACCCAAAATCTCTTGTTCCAGGTACCTGGTAGGATCTAGGAAAAGAACTCGTTTACATGCACTATTTTAGGAAATGATTGTAATGGAACATTGGTCATTAGCCTGTTCTCGTCTCTAATTATAGAATACGAACATTGAAGCGCGAGGCCTGTGAAAAATGATGCACGTACATGAGATTATTGCATAATATCTCTGAAATAAAGGTACTCATAAATATTAAACGCTGGCTGGAAGGGCTATGGAACAGTACCTATAAATAAAGGAAAACATTTAGGGACCGGTCTCAGCGCACGGGTATCGATCAAGAGGCTTTTTTTTCCCCCCTCAATCAATCTCTATGAGATTTATTCGGGCTGTGTAGTGAATTGGTGCAAGGGACAATAATGAGAGGAGGCAGTCGGATTTAAATGTGTAGTGGTTATATTTTTTTTTTTCTTATAGCAAGGACCAAAAGAATATTAAGAAAAAAAAGGTCAGATAAATATGAACTAGCCATCAAGATGAGCCGTCTCGTGTTTTCCAGAAAAGCTCCTTCAAAATAAACAGCCTGTTGTTGATGTAGCTCAAGTTGACATTCACAGACACAAGAGAGTTTAAAATGGAATTGTCAGGTCCTCGGTGATCAAATCAACACTATCCCCAAAGTGCAGACACAGTGTGGCACATGTCTGTAGTTTTCTTAGTAACTAAACTTGTTTTTCCGGCGTGCCTGGGAGCACCACTGATCCTGGACACACTTTGTAGGACTTTAAGGTCTAATCTTGAGAGGCTCAAAGACTCAAAGTATTATTCAACAACCTATTATGAGGAGCTTCTTTTGGCCATTTAGGGTCTTGCAGTGGACTTTTGGATGTTTGAGGGATTAATTCCAGAAGAGTTCCCTTTTGCCACTCTGTTGCTCAACCCAGATACTTTGTTATCTTATGTCTGCTGGCATTTCGTGGTAGATGTCTGCCCAAGTGGTACATGTCTGTATGTTTGTTAATCGCTGAACTATTTTCTGATTGCCAGGGAAGTGCCACTGATCCTGGACACACTTTGTAGGACTTTAAGGTCTAATCTTGTAAGGCTTCAATGTGAGGGCCTCTATAGGCCAGTTAGTCTTGTGTTGGACTGTTGGGTGTTGGGTCTTAGCTCCATAGGGTACAGGACTCCCAGAGGAGTGCCTTTTTGCTAATCTGTTGAACAGCCCAGACTCTTTGTCATCCTATGCTTGTTGGCATCTCGAGGATTAAAGTGACACTAAACTCAGGAGTTGAATCTCAAAAATGCATTCAAGTACCTTAACTATTAACAATAAATGTATCTTATTTGGGCATCACTCGGCTGTAGATCCTCAAATCATTTCTGAATTGGTGCTGACACTGTCCTTCCTTCTGGAGGGTGACTACGTTTGTTCCCCATGGTCCCTGTGTGTGTTGTAAAGTAGTCACCGCTCCAAGCTCACTCCCATGGTGGACTTCAATCTCATGTTTAGCTTACTAATTTGTGTTGAGATTGTTGTCCATCATGGGAACTTTACCTTACAACATACACAGGGACTTTTGGGAACAAAAGTAGCCACCCTCCAGAAGGAAGGACAGTGTCAGCACCAATTCAGAGATGATTTGAGCATCTACAGCCGAGTGATACACAAATAAGTTGCATTATTGTTAATAGTTAAGGTACTTGAATGTATTTTTGAGATTGAACTCCCGAGTCACTTTAAGACTAAAGGCTGTAGTCATAATTGTTGCAAGCTGGCTACAAAAGTCAATCACTACCACCATCAGGATTGCAGCCCAATACTGACCATTGCATCACTAGATGTAGTTTAAAATCAAAGGAGATTTCTTTTTTAAAGTCACTTTAAGCCAATCTGATCACATTTATATCTAGTGTAAATAAATAAATAAGACTTCTTATATATTCCCTTTAACTATTGGGTATTTCCGTGAGGAATTGGATAACTCTGTAAAGATAACTCCATTATCATTACCCAGTTTGACCTTTCATACAGGATTTTACCTGCATTGTTGCAACCGGTTTTTGGAAGCCGTATATGCTGCAGCCCA